CTGTCACTATCGCCGACGTGTTCGTACAAGCATGCCGGGGGAATTCCGTCGAATACTTGCACCCTTTCAAGATGGCGACCCACGCTCAAAAGCGGGATCGGGTGGGAGCGTTACAAGTCATTCCCACCAGCACTTCCCATCTCGTCTCTCTCTCTCTCTCTCTCTCTCTCTCTCTCTCTCTCTCTCTCTCTCTCTCTCTCTCTCTCTCTCTCTCTCTCTCTCTCTCTCGTATCAGTCACTGTCTCGCACTGGACCGCCAGTGCAGTTCTGCGTTTACCTATCACGAGGAACATGAAGGGTCATAAATCCAAGCTGTCACCATCGTTGATGTCACCCAAGATTCGACAACGAAGACTTTGTATCGTCGGTCACATGCAGGCATCGACGACGGCGACAGCAGGGCAGTCCCTTTTGCCCCCTCATCGCCCGACCTCCGCGCAGTGCAGAGTAGCTGGAAATGCTCAATTTGGTCTGGCGGATCTTTTTGGCTGTTCCTTTGACGGGAAGGGAGCGCCGGTATTCCTTACCCGAGGTATGCGAGATATTCAAGATTACATCAGCACAGTCGCATTACAAGAATGGAACCCGGTTTCCAGCAGGCGCCGCTCCCCACCAATAGATGGAGTCTTCTACCGGAGGGCCACTTGAAGAGACGGCTCTTATCACCTCCACAAAGCGATGCCCCCTATCTGAAGTTCAAAAAGACCGGAAAAAAAAAAGGAAAGCTAAGAACAATACACAAAATGTAAGGAAGACCCTGTAATGCGTACAGATATGGTTAAAGATTTCCACAGAGCGCTGCTGCGACCGCTTCACCCAAGGTAAATAAGACACGCAAGAGTACATCTGTGAGCCCAATCCTGACCGTTCCCTCCAATGGAAGAAACGGGTGGTACAAGATCGCTTTTGGCCCACCCAGCCTCTCTCCTACTTCGCTGTTCCCTTACCCGGCAACGCCTTGCTACCTGTGCCTTGCCTCCCCCGCCCCTGCTCCACTCTCCCTCCTCCCTCGAGTCAGGCCGACTCCGCATCCTCCTCCATCTGCTCAGACGAGCAGCGATCATGATTCCGTCCCTTGACGCATATATCAGAATTTAGCAAGTCGGTACTCCAGCTTCAGCGGAGATCCAAATGAAATCCACCACCCACACAAAGATCAAATGAAATTCGCCACCCAAACAAAGATCAAGGGGAAAAAAAAAATAAAAAAAAATCACCACCAGCAGTAAATCCTTCCCTGCTGACAAAGTAATCAGTACTGCCTGACAATGATTCAATACAATCTGCAGCTTGACCTTTCTATAGGATCATAGCCGTGTTGGCACCGCGACTCTCCACTCACGGCTGACGAACTGACGGATATCCCATGGGCAACCTATGGTCACCTCATGCCCACACACCATAGGGCCCTCCAGTGGCAGATTGCTCACAGGTGCCTTCCCCGGACTGGATAACTGGCTGTACGGACTGTATTCCGTGCAACCTCACCTCGACTCTCACACCATAGGGCCTTCCCAGTGGCAGATTGCTCACAGCTTGCACGGACTGTATTTCGTGCAAGCTCACCTACAAGTTACGTGACCATGGGACGATTCCTGTCTTGGGGCAGCCGATAGGACGAAGACTAAAAGCACATACTAGGAGGTTGCCAGGCAGTATTGGTGCGGACTTCAGGGGGGTGTTATATGGCTTCTATGGGAGGCTGGGTCTTGCTCCAAGCATTTGTTGTTCGCCACTGTATGTCTCAGATTCACAGTAGGAGAGACGCTGGGCCCGGTTTCCAGCACGTGCTGCTCCCCACTAATAAGACCGGAGCCATCAACACAGTGAGAGCCGTACTTCAGGCCTGGGTTCTTGTCCCGGCAGGCAGTAGGAGCTCCTCCAGCTGATGTTTCAAAAAAAAAAGAAAGAAAGAAAGAAAGAAAGAAAGGAAAGAAGAGGATCCTCGCCGCATTCGCCAGCAGGTGTTGCTCCCCACCAATAGACGGAGCCACAGCACGAAGAGGATTAGGTCTTCCACCTGGACCAGTTTCCCCTCTGGTTAAAGGCTATTTTTTCACATACCATGCCGCTTGCCCACAGGCAATGCACTACCGAATAGAACGCCCTGTATTCCGTGCAAGTTTCCGTCTAAATACAGCGATAATGGCCGGACATTCTATTCGGGTGAAGACAGCAGGAGTGGCATAACTTTCATCTCTCAAAGTGGGTCGTCAACAACAACAACACAATCTATAAAATGCTCACAGATCATTGGAAAAGAAAATGCATGAAATTGATGAACGTGCACACCAAGTGAACAAGGGACGAGCAGCAGCAGCACGAGGAGGAAGATCACGATTCAAGAGCAGGGGGAGAAAACATGTGATGGGGGGGGAAGAGAAGAAGGGAGCAAAGGGACAGGGGAAGGAGAAACACTTCATAAAAACAGGCAAAGGAGAAGATAAAAGGGGAGTAGAAGCAAGGAGCGCAGACAGGAAAGCGGCGAAAAGCAAGGAGCGCAGACAGGAAAGCGGCGAAAAGCAAGGACCGCACAAGAGTGCAGATGCAAATGCCACATGAACAACAATTCGCAAGCGAGTCAAGGTTATTCGGATGGACTTGCAATACCCTTCTCACCCAAATAGAACCCCTGGTAATTATTGCCGTACCTGGACTGAAACGTGCACCACATACAGCTATAACGACCGGGCTTTCTATTCAGGTGAAGACGGTAGTTTTGACTGCAAGTCTGCACTGGGTATCTCTCCACGATTTGTAAAAGAGTAGCCTGTCCACCCGAAACAGGCTTGCACCTCCGACCAATTAGCATATTAAACCACCAGTACTTGGCCAAGCTATCAGCTGTGGAAAAAAATAGAGTAGAAACATTTGTACCCAGATGAATTTGGGCGCTCCTGTAGTGGCCCGTACATTTCCTGAAACTGTGGCTTGTAAACGGGCACAACTTTAGCAAGTACTAGTGGTTTAAAAGGGCTGTCACAGCCCCAGGGGTCCGGTGTGGTGGTCCTCTGACCCCGGTCTGGCAGGGGCCAAAAAGAAAAAAAGAAAAAAATAAATAAATAAATAAAAATGCTGGGGGGTGCGCAATGACAGCCTGCCCCCCCTGGCCAAAAATCAAAAAAATGATTTTTACCCCTTCCCGGACCCCTCACAGGGGCCATGCCCACCATGGGTGCCCAGGCGGGGGTGCAGGGGTGCAGGGCCGGGGGTGCAGAGTTGCGAGGGTGCAGGGTTGCAGGGGTGCGGGGGTGGGCAGCGGCAGGGGTGATTTGGAAGGGGCGGGGGTCGGGGATCCCCGGGCCGGGGGTCCAGGGGTCAATCCCCTACCCCGGCTTGGGCCCCGGGGATCCCCGGGTGACAACCCTGGTTTAAACATACGGTTTGCGCAGAGCTTGAGCTTGACTGATGTGTCTGCACTGGTGCTATAGCTGGTTCTCCAAAGCTTATCATGGCATACGATGAGGTTGCCCAGATCGACACGAACGCACAAAGCTCCTATATACAGTACACAGCAAATCCACAGCACTTGACTGCCAACCAGGAGCACTAAACCGCGCCAGTACATCACCCAGGCAAACTTAAGAATTGAAATCAAGCCAATCTGAATATTTCGGAGGCTCGGGGCTACATGACAGGGGGAAGCTGCTCCTACCACTCCCCCTAGTAAGCTGAAGATGGTTCCTTTGTTAAATAAAAAAGGAAAAAGGACCAAAATGGCTGGCGGCACCATCCAAAGAAAAGAAAAGCGCCGCGCTGGCGTTTCGACCAAGCGTGGCGCACAGCGGGCATTCGCCTTGGCAAAAAGAGGCTCGGATATACTGGTGGCTTAATGCCCAGATCGATATGACCCAACGACACTACTCTACACTACGCAGTAAGTCCAGACTCCAAAGCACTTGCGTCCCAACCAGGAGCGCCAAGCATGCTGCTGTGCATCCAACAACCTATGGTCAACAGAAGACCAGCATCCCATAACACTTCCCCAGACACCACAACCAAAATGGAGAGCAACACTTGACATTATTATGTTTGACAGGGTTTGAACTCTTGGCTTGTTGGTGGGCATCTGCAGGCCTCCTGAACAATCAGTCACATCACAGTATATGCAAACTGCAAAGTCAGTGGCCTCGTTAACATTCCTCTTTTTTTTTGTTAGCATTCCCACTGAAGGGAAGTAGAAATAACAAAGTGATAAAAGCCCTAAGCCAAAAATGAACCACAGTCAACTGAGTTACATAAAGCGGAGCATCAGTCAGGACACAGAAAAAGATCCGCCAGATGCAATAGACGGCCAGGCATTACCATACACTACGATGTCAGCGCGACTCAATCAAGCTTTGCACTGCTGGGAAGTACCAGTCACATGGTGATGAAAACTCACTCGAAGTGAACTGCCGATCACAGTGTTACAGAAAGTGGAGCTCCCAGACTGACAAAAAAGAACACAGACATAAAATACGGAAACGAACAATAAGTGGTCAGCGGTAATAAAGCTCTGCAGAATCCTGAGTTCAACTCATGGACAAAGCAAGAAGCCTGCAGGCCATCATCCGTGCTGCAATTCGTCCTAGTGTAGAGACACAGATGAGAGTGTGCACATGGATGTGGAGAGAGAGAGAGAGAGAGAGAGAGAGAGAGAGAGAGAGAGAGAGAGAGAGAGAGAGAGAGAGAGAGAGAGAG